TAGAGATAGAGATAGAGATAGAGATAGAGATAGAGATAGAGATAGAGATAGAGAGCTTATAGATTATGGATTATGGATTTTGAAAAGTAGATTGAGGATTTAGCAGGAATAGTCTGTTGATCGATATTTATCGATATTCTTTAAGTGACTGTAATAATGAGATCATATGCATTAAAGTTTAAAGATATGAATCGAAAAATCGATAAATGACAACTTGGCGGATATGCAACTGTTTGCAGAGGTCACACTATTCCAGATATGATATCTACGATAAGGTTTTGCGAAAGGAGAACCACTCAGCTCAAAAACTTGTTCCCAACAATATACTCTACTATCATTAGTTAGTTGACTTTATCAGTTGATAAATTCCGTTCTTCAATCATTTAAATACAGATAGTGTATGTACCAGAGCTCATGAGAGTTGATTGTTTTTTCGTATATGCTCTCGCTCTGAGCGGCTCTCTTTGTTTTGTTTAGGATCGGTTTCGGTCAGACACGTTGCGCTTTCAAATGAGTGTCGCGGTAATACGATGTATGTACATTGTATCTAGAGTACAATTATCTCTGACTCGTTCTATCTCGCTTGCTTCTTATCTTAATTGACAAATAAAGTAGAATAGGCAAGTTAATTACCCTTTCTGTCGCATGCTTTTACTACGCACTGTGGCTGACAAGTTTCGCAAACTCAATTACTAACCGCTGACCAATCAACTCCCCCCCACCCACACACACAAACACACACACACACACACACATACACACACACACATACACACACAGTGGTCACACGTGCCCAGGCAAAGAATCTAATTGATGCTGGAGTGGATGGACTGCGCGTGGGCATGGGCTCTGGCTCAATATGCATTACGCAGGAGGTGATGGCTTGCGGCTGCCCGCAGGCCACGGCCGTGCATCAGGTGGCGACGTTCGCCAGGCAGTTCGGTGTGCCGGTGATTGCCGATGGTGGCATTCAGTCGATTGGGCACATTGTGAAGGCATTGGCATTGGGCGCCAGCGCTGTGATGATGGGCTCCCTGCTGGCTGGCACCTCGGAGGCGCCCGGTGAGTACTTCTTCTCTGATGGCGTGCGCTTGAAGAAGTATCGCGGCATGGGCTCGTTGGAGGCGATGGAGCGTGGCGATGCCAAAGGTGCGGCCATGTCCCGTTACTATCACAACGAAATGGACAAGATGAAGGTGGCACAGGGCGTCAGCGGCAGCATTGTGGACAAGGGCTCCGTGCTGCGCTATCTGCCGTATCTGGAGTGCGGACTGCAGCATAGCTGCCAGGACATTGGCGCCATTTCCGTTAGCAAACTGAGGTGAGTTGAGCTCTCATTTTACTCTATATGTATGTATATATTTGCCATCTCTTTCTAATTCATGGCAGAGAAATGATCTACAATGGGAAGCTGCGCTTCATGAAGCGCACCCATTCGGCCCAGCTGGAGGGCAATGTGCACGGCCTGTTCAGCTACGAGAAGCGTCTCTTCTAACATACAAACAGTGCTGCAGCGATGCCAACTGCTGTCAGCCAGTATCAACAGCAGCATAAACATCAGCCACACCAGCAGCACCAGCAGCAGCAGCAACATCAGCAGCAGCAGCAGCAACAGCAGCAGCAGCAGCGGCAGCGGCATCAGCAGCGTCTCGTTTACCATGCAGCAGATGATTTTGGTCGAGTCCTGAACGACTAGCGTGGAGCTGGCTTAAAGCCTGGCCACGATTTACTTAATTGTTAAGCTTAAGCACAGAATGAGAGGTATACGGATAGAGGGAGAGAAACATGCAGACAGAGAGAGAGAGAGAGACGGAAAGAAAATCGAATTCAAAATTTCGAATATTTGCGAATCTGCAGAGGAGTCAAAATTTTAACTGTCCACAGTTGATGTGTGCAGTGCAACATATATTTAATATATATATACACATGTATGCCAATGTTGTGTTTGCCAAATCTATTGAAAATGTGAATTAGCTAAAAGAGAAAAGAAAATAGTTGAAAACTCTGCTGTTGCGTTGGTCTAAACGCGTTCATTCCCCAGCTAAATTTCTATGATTTTTTTAAGCTTGATCATATATTGTAATTATGCTATTGTTATAATATATCATTATACATGTTATATATACATATATGTATGTATATCGAAAGTAATTGTATACGATCTTTGCCAAATTTAGTTTTGCTTTTATTAAGGCATATATACATATATGTATATATATATATATATCAATATCTGGACATCTTGAGCCAGCAATTTGTAATGATGTTGTCAGCCTTCATTCCCCCAAATAAATAAAATATATGATTTTTGAAAATATATTTGATCAATTTTTTTTTTTTTTTTTTTTTTTTTTTTAAATTTAGTTTTCTTAACATTCGATTAGTCAAGCATTGATTGCCCCCAGAAATTCAAATAGATTACTTTTTTTTGTTTTTTTGTTCAATATAAATAATTTTGATTTTTGATTTATTTGTACATATATACATATATATGTATATGCAAGTATATATATACATAGATAATTTGTTTTTTTTTTTCTTGTGTCTGTATGTGTGTGTGTGTTATGCTTTTGTGTTATAAAACTTTTATTAGAAATATATATATATATTATGTATTGTGTGTTTTGCGAAAGAGTTATTGAATAATTTATAATAAATATATATGATTCAAAAATATTTTTTTTTTTATTTTTTACTTTTGGTTTTTGTTTTTTGATAAGTAAATTTGTTAGCTACGTTGTTGTTGTTGTTGTTGTTTTCTATAGATTATCGATAGAAAAACTTGTACAAAATTGTTGTGCAGCAAGTAGAAAATAATCTAAGCAAAAGGAAAATTGAAGTAAAGTTAGAAAATATGTTGATAAAAAAAATCCTCTTTAAGGACACTTAAACAGAGCTAAATATTTGTGTGTATGTGTGTGTGTGCGAGTGTGTGTGTGTGCATGCGAGTGCGTGTGTGTGTGTAATAGAAGAGGCAAGCGATATTTAACATTGATCGCTTAGCGAATTGAGATTAAGTCTAGCTGAAGGAAAATTCAAGCAAAGCAAAGCACACAGACTCACACACATACACACACACGCACACATGCATGTAGGCATATCAAAAATATATATATTTATATATGTGTGTGTGTATATGTATATGTGTATATGTATATTTGTTTAGGTGTATGAATCTAAGTTTAAAATCATCTTGAGCGGGAATCCACAGTTATCGGCTAATGTGTGGGATTATCGCTGGCCAGACAATGCCACTTCTCGTGGAAATGATCCGGCAGCCGGATGCAGTCGAGCCACTGCTGCAGTCGATCACCTTTGCTTTGGGCGCCCAATTGGAGGCTGCCCAGAAAATCGTTGCTCTTGCCCAGATCCTTGTCCCAGACGGTCAGGATGAGCATCTCTTTGTTCAGATCGTGCGGACTGGCCTCGAAATAGAACTCCTCGTTGAAGACGGGATTCAGTGTGCGCCACTTGACGCTCGTCTTGTGCTTCTTGTTCTTGTGCGCATCCGGTTTCAGTTGCCTGTTACAAGGGAAAATGAAAACGGTGAACTCATTTAGTCTTTGCCTCAGGCATATGGGGGATGGGGGCACACCTACAGCTTGACAAAGGGATCCGAACTGCCGTTGTTGTCCATGGGCAGCAAATTGATGCACTGCTTCACATTGACCACCAGCGCCCGCCGTTTCGTATTGTAGCACAGCGAGATAAGCATCTTGCCATTCGGCCAGCTCTGCGACATCTCCGCCTCGGCGCTATACTGATCCTCTGCGCCCAGCGGCACGGATATCCGATACTGCGATGTGCTATGCACCTGGGAAAGAGATTTTCATAATTAGATATGATTATACTATTAATTGAAGTGGTTAAAGAGACATAGATATAGAGACATGTTCAGAGCTCAGAGTTCTTAGGGTCCTAAGTTTTGATATGAGATAACTCTCCTTTCCTAAAACATAGGACTGAATTGATTTTTGTTGCTTTAAGTTTGTACTCAGTTTCGACTAGATTAGAGAACCACCCACAAATCCTTTTCTTCCCTATCCTTTTCTAGCTAGATATATAAAACAAAGCTCACATTGTTTTACCCTAGACCCTAGAGGTATGCAGTAAAATCCAAGCAAAAATCTTGAATCCACATATTCTGAGATTCTGGGGTTAAAGGTATATATGCCTCCATTTGGGGTGTGGCATATCAAAAAAAAAAAAAAAACAATTTCTGCATACATCTAATGATTTTTGTTCTGTGAACGAGTATCATAGAGTCGTTCCCGCTTGACTTTAATACATTTATTTATTATTTATATATTTTAATATATTATTTATTATTTAAATTTTATATCATTTTTCATATACAAATATAATTAATTTATATTTAATTATGTTTAATATAATTTTATTATTATTATCTTTTTTATTATATATATATTTATATTATCTTGTTTATTATATATATATTTATATTATTTTTTATATTATATTATATTAAAATCAATTTACATATTATTTACATTCAACTATTTTGCATTATTTTATTATAATTAATTTTTATATTAGTTTTTAAAGTTTATTATAATCAATTTATATATTATTTATATATAATTATTTTTATTTTTATTTTATATTTTATTTTTATTATAATTTGTAGATTATGTCTTTATAGTTAAATCTTTTTAATTTTTATTTTATTTATTTATATTTTAATTTGATCAATTTATATATTATATATATTAAAATATTTTAATTTTCATATATATTTATTTTTTTATAGTTTAATTTGATCAATTTATATATAATATATATTAAAATATTTTTAATTTTCATATTTTATTGTTATTTATTTTTTTATATTTTAAATTGATCGATTTATATATAATATATATTAAAATATTTTTAATTTTCATATTTTATTGTGATATTTTTTTTAATATTTTAATTTGTTTAATTTATATATTGAAATATTATTAATTTTCATATTTTATTATAATTTATTTTTTATATTTTAATTTGATCAATTTATAAATAATATATATTAAAATTTGCTTATTTTTTATATTGTATTCAAATTAATTGATATATTTTTATATTATTTATGTTTCTCTCGTTTGCGTTTAATTTTTGCTCAACTCAAAATCAAAAGTCGAAAATGACAGAGTATTGCCACAGTCGCATATACCCGTCGCGACGATTGGCACTTACCGTCGATAGGCAGACTTTGGCGGCGCCCAGAAAATCGTGCCCATACTTGTCGTCGTCGAAGAGCGCCACATAGAGCAGCGAGTTGCCCAGCTCCTCGGGCTCGACGCCCACGAACTGGAGGGTCTCGTTGAAGTCAGGATTGCGGGTCTTGTGCACCGTCTTGGTGCGCTGCCAGCGGGTGTATTTCGTATGCCCCTCGGGCGTCACGATGTTCACCTTGCAGTAGGGATCGGCCAGGCCGCTGGCATCCATTGCCGGCAGATCTCTAGCCCGCACCAGCGTGCAGTCCAGGCTGTGGAAGCTCTCCCGATAGCTGATTGCCAGCTCTAGCCAGCCAAGCAAAGGATCGCGACAATGTTGTTGTTGTTGTTGCTGTTGTTGCTTTTGCTGCTGCGGGTTTTGTGTGGTTTGTGTCGCCGAATTGCCGGAACCGGAGCTATCGCTGAAGGACCACGACGAGCTCACGGAGCTGCGACGCATGAAGCTGCCCTCGCGGCGCAGCTGCGCCACAGTCGATGCATTCGAGATGTTGTCGTAGTCCTGGCCATCCGCCTGCCGGCTGCCCGCATTCGGGTTCGCCTGCCGGCCAAAGAAGAACGAGTTGGACAACTTGCGTTCGCCGCCATCGATGAAGCTGCGTATCGAGCCGTAGGCGCGCAGCCGAAAGCTCTCATCGCGTTGCAGTCGCTGCCGGTCGGAGGAGTCGTTGGCGGTGCCGTTGCCAGGGGCGGAGCCGGAGGTGGCGCCAACGACGCCAGCTGTATTCGACTTGGCGCCATCCAACTGATCCTCCTCCGGCTCCGACTGACCGCTGGCACTGCTGTTGCTGGCGCTGCTGCTGCTGGTGTCGTTCACCCGAATCGTTAGCTTCTTGATGCGGCCGCCACGTGCCGGCGTCCCGTGGCAGCTCTGCACGGCGCGCGCGCCCTTTCCGGCTCCAGCTTTGCCGTACGCAGCCACCGCGCCACCGCCTCCGCCCCCGGCAGTGGGCGTCGTTGTGGGCGTATTGGAGGCGCTGGCACTGCGCACGGGCATGTCGTAGTTGGGCAGGCCCTTGAAGAACCAGGCGCCCGACTTCTTCCACATCTCGCGCGTCTCCGAGCAGATGCGGCACAGCCAAATTTCGCGCGTTCGCTCGCTGTTGTGATAACGGATGTTGATGTCCACGCTGCACTTGGTGCAGACGGCCTTGCGGCAATCCTCGCACAGGATGCGCTGCGGCCGCAGCAGGCCGAACGCATCGCCGCACAGCCGACAGCAGTTGGGGCCGCGCTCCACGGCGTGCAGCTTGATCTTCTCCACCCGCTCGACGAGTCGGCCGACACGCTGCCGTTCCGCAATCTCGATCTCTTCATTCCGGCGTATCACGGAAATAATTGCCTCCTGCTCCTCTGGGCGTAATGGTTCATTGGTCTTTGAGCTGCTCCAGCCGGCCTTCAATCTGTGCAGGGAAACAAAAGGCCAGAGCTTAGTACGTGGTTGAATATGAGTGAAACTGTGAGTGTGTGTGTGTGTGTGTGTGTGAGGACTTTTGACTCGACG